GGCTCCCTGCTCAGTGGCGAGTCTGCTTCTCCCTCTCTTTCTGCCCTTCCCCCAGCTTGTGCTCTCTCTTTCTCAAATAAATTAAAAAAAAAAAATGAAATTCATTCCTGTTTAGGGAAAAAAAATGCTAGGTCCTTTTCCTTCTAGTTTACACTAACCAGGAAAGCAATTCTGTACCATTTTGTTCTATACCCAAACAAATAACTGGAATTGTGATTTTTCTGTCTTCTATATTTTTAAGAGCTGACTTACAAAAATATGTATCTAATTGGACATTAATTAGCAATATTCACATTGCAATCATAAACAATCATAGTTTATTAAAAATCACATCACAACTACTCCCAAACCTCTGAATCTTGAATGCCAGTCTTTTGAACCTGGCAGGCATGGAGACACAGATCTGATGGGCGGTCAAGGACACAAGTTAGCTACACACTGGAAGGCGAATATAATACGCACTAAGGCAAAAAGAGTAGATACTCTGGCTTCCTTTCAGTTATAATTTTAAAAGGTAGCAATATTTAAAGTATGATTCTTTGTGACCTATAATAACAAAATGTAGAGAAAGATCACATCAGTAAATCCATGACTATATCAATATTTGTACTGAAAGAAACAGCCTCATTATAACATGCCAATTAAAAGAAGAAAAAAAAATTTTTTGAGCATCTACTATATACCAGACACTGCTAGACATTTCATATACATTATTTCATTTAATCCACACTGTAATATTTTAATGTTATTATTGTCATTTTGTAAACGAGGAAACAGGTTTTTGTGTGTGTGTTTTTTTAAAGATTTTATTTATTTATATGAGAGGGAGAGTGAGAAAGAGAGAGAGCATGAGCAGGGAGAGGAGCAGAGGGACAGGGAGACAGGGGAAGCAGGCCCCCCCTGAGCAGGGAGCCTGATGTGGGGATCGATCCCGGTACTCAGGGATCACGACCTGAGCCGAAGGCAGACGCTTAACCAACTGAGCCACCCAGGTGCCCTGAGGAAACAGATTCAAAGAGATTAAATAACTTGCCCAAAGTCACTCAGCTAGTGGGTAGCAGAGATAGGATTTGAAACCAGGTCTTTCTGACTCTAGACACGGAGTTTTTTTACTATACTGGTGCGGCTCTCATTATTATGTAAATTAAGACCTGGCCAATATCCAGTAATATTCGCTAGAGCACAACAGCTATAAAATTAATAAAACCTCTCAACCAAGCATTAAAACAGGATTCCAATGGAGGCACCTGGATGGCTCAGTCGGTTAAGCGTCTGACTCTTGGTTCGGCTCAGGTCATGATCTTGTGGTCGTGGAATCAAGCCCTGTGTTGGGCTGTGTTCAGTGTGGGATTCTCTCTCCCTCTCATTCACTCTTTCTCTTTCAAATAAATAAATAAAATCTTAAAAAAAAAAATAGGATTCCACTGTATTTACACTGTAATGAGAAACACAGCTAAGGTGAAAATAGCTCAAAAGAAAGACAATCTAAATAATGTAGGAATTAGATAATCACCTGTTTTTCTGGTCCTAGTGCAGGTGAATCTGTTTCTAAGCAAATTGAAGTTAAAGGCAACTGTTTCACAAGTTTCTGTTTCTTAGAGAAAAGAGAAAGCTAGTCAGTTTAAAACATGAGACATAAAGATAAAAAAAAATGGAGCATTAAACCCATATACCAATGCATCCTACTTTGCAGGAACCTAAAATTCATGCTTTCATATTCAATTAATTATTAAAACTTTCAACTGTTACTAAATGCTCACCACAATAAATGTAGTTACCATCTGTCACCATACAAGATTATCACAATACTATTGACTATATTCCCTATGGTGTACTTTTCAACACCATAACTTAGTTTGTAACTGAAAGTTTGTACCTCTTAACCCCCTTCACTTATTTTGCCCATTTCCCCACCCCCTTCCCTTCTGGCAACCACCAGTTTGTTCTCTTATGAGTCTGTTTGGTTTTCTTTGTTCATTTGTTTTGTTTTTTAGATTCCACATAAAAGTAAAATCATATAGTATTTGTCTTTTTCTGTCTGATTTATTTCACTTAGCATAATACCCTCTTGATCCATCCATTTTGTTGAAATGGCAAGATTTCATTCTTTTTTATGGCTGAATACTGAAGCACTGTTTGTAACAGTGAAACACTAGAAATGACCTAATCTTAAGGTAATGATTAAATAAATTATGGTACATCCAAACTGTGAAGTATTATGCAATCACTTTAAAGATGAGGTAGATCCATATTTATAGACACAAGCAGATATCCACAAATTTTCCTAAGTATTTGGAAATTGAGCAACACACTTTGAAATAATCGATATGGTCAAAGAGGAAGTCACAAGGTAAATTACAAAATATTCCAAACTGAAAGAAAGTGAAAATACAGCATCTATCAAAATCTGGGATTGCAACTACAAGATCCAGTTAGCGCTAATGAAACTATCGCAGTAAAGGTTTACATGAGAAAATAAGAAAGATTACAAATAAATAATCTAAAGTTCTACCTTAAACTATAAAATGAAACTATAAAAAGGATAATATGCAGGCCCACCTTGTTTTATTGTGTTTCACAGACAGTGAGGTGTTTTTTTTGTTTGTTTTTTTACAAATTGAAAGTTTGTGGCAACCCTGCAAGTCTATAGGTGCCATTTTTTCCAAAAGCATTTTCTCATTTCATGTCATTCACATTTTGGTAATTCTTGCAATATTTCAACCGTTTTCATTGTTATTATATTTGTTATGCTGATCTGTGATCAGTGCTCTTTGATGTTGCTATTGTAATTGTTCTGCAGCACCATGAACTGCGCCCATACAAGATGGTAAGTTTAAAAGTTGCTTGTGTTCTGACTGTTCCACCCACCAGCCATTCCCTTGTCTCTCTCCCTCTCCTTAGGTCTATTTCCTGAGACACACAATACTGAAATTAGGCCAACTAATAACACTACACTGGCCTCTAAGTGTTCAAGGGAATGGAAGGGTCACACATTTCTCATTTTAAATCAAAAGCTAGAAATGATTAAGCCTGGTGAGAAAAGCCAAGATAGGCGGAAAGTGAGACGTCTTGGGCCAGTTCACTGAGTTGTGAATGCAAAGAAGTTCTTGGGGGAAATTACAAGTGCTGCTCCAGGGAACACACAAATGATAAAACAAAACAGCCTTATTACTGATATAGGGAAAGTCTGAGTGGTCTGGGTAGAAGATCAAACCAGCCACAACCTTCCCTTAAGCCGAAGCCCTATTCAGAGCAAGGCCCTTCTATTCTATGCAGGCTGAGAGAGGTGAGGAAGCTGCAGAAGAGCTTGATGCTAGCAGAGGCTGGTTCATGAGGTTTACAGAAAGAAGCCGTCTCCATAACATCAGAGTGTAAGGTAAAGCAGCAAGTGCTAATGTAGAAGCTGTGAGTTACCCAGAAATCTCGCTAAGAGAATTTATGAAGGTGGCCATGCTAAAGGATAGATTTTCAATGTAGACAGAACAGCCTTATACTGGAAGAAGATGCCATCTAGGACTTTTGTAGCTAGAGAGAAAAATCTATGCCTGCCTTCAAAACTTCAAAGGACAGGCTAACTCTCATTAGGTGCTAATGCAGTTGGTTGACTAAGTTGAAGTCAATGTTTGTTTACCATTCTAAAAATCCTAGGGCCCTTAGAAATAGTGCTAAATTTATTCTGCTTGTGCTTTATAAATGGAACAACAAAGCTTGGATGCAGGCACATCTGCTTACAACATGATTTAATAAAAATTAAGTCCACTGTTGAGATAAAAAAGATTCCTTCCAAAATATTACTGCTCATTGACAATGCACCTGGTCACCCAAGGGCTCTGCTGGAGATATACAAGGAGAGTAATGTTTTCATGCCTGCTAACACAACAACCATTCTGCAGTCTGTGGACCAAGTAATAACTCTGATTTCCAAGTGTTACTATTTAAGAAATACATTTCATGAGGTTATAGTTAGTATCACATAGTGATTCCTTGGATGGATCTGGGCAAAGTAAACTGAAAACCTTCTGGGAAGGATTCACCATTCTACATGTCATTAAAAACATTTGTAAGTCATAGAAAGAGGTCCAAATATCAACATTAACAGAAGTTTGGAAGAAATTGATTCCAACCCTCATAAATGACTTTGAGGGGTTCAAGACTTCAGTGGAGAAAGTAACTACAGATGTGGTGGAAATAGTAAGAGAACTGGAATAAGAAGTGGAGCCTGAAGATGTGAATGAATTGTTGCAATTTCACAATAAAACTTGAATGAATGAGGAGTTGTTTCTTATGGGTGAGCAGAGAAAGTAGTTTTTTGGGATGGAATCTACTCCTGGTGAAGATGCTGTGAAGATTGCTGAAATAACAATAGATTTAGAATATTACATATATTTAGTTGATAAAGCAGTGGCAGGGTTTAAGAGGATTGACTCCAATTTTGAAAGAAGTTCTACTGTGGGCAAAATGCTATTAAATAGCATCATGTGCTATAGAAAAATCATTCTTGAAGGGAAGAGTCAATGGATGCAGCAAACTTCACTGTTGTCTTATTTTAAGAAATTGCCTCAGCCACCCCAACCTTTAGCAACCATCACCCTGATCTGTCAGGAGTCACCAACATTGAGGCAAGACCCTCCACCAGCAAGGAGATTATGACCCCCTGAAAGCTCAGATGATGGTTAGCATTTTTTAACAATAAAATACTTTTATTTATTTTTAAATTTTTACTTATTTATTTGAGAGAGAGCAAGCACACACTAGCTGGGAGGGGTAGAGCGGTAGAATCTGAAGCAGACTCTGCACTGAACGAGGAGCTGGACATAGGGCTGGATCCCATGACTGCGAGACCATGACCTGAGTTAAAACCAAGAGCTGGACACTTAACTGACCGAGCCACCCAGGTGCCCCACAATAAAACACTTTTAAATTAAGGTATGTACATTGTTTTTTTGGACACAGTGCTATTGCACACTTAATAGACTACAATATAGTGTACACATAACTTTTATATGCACTGGGAAACCAAAAAATTCACTTGACTTGCTTTACTGTGATATTTGCTCTATTGCAGTAGTCTGGAACCGCACCTGCAACATCACTGAGGTATGCCTGGCTCATGACCAAGTAGAATTTATCCAAGGAATACAAGGTTGGTTCTACATTAGAAAATCAATCAATACAATTTACAGGCCAAGAAAAGAAGACCAGTATGATCATCTCAGTAGAGGCAGAACAAACATTTGACAAACAGAAAATGGAAATAAGGTTGATAGAAATAAACAGTTTCTTTAAAAAGAAAAAAACATTTGACAAAATCCAACATGTCTTTTTTTTAAGATTTATTTATTTATTTGAAAGCGAGAGAGAGAGAGAGAGAGAGAAAGTGAGTGTGAGCGGGGAGGGGCAGAGGAAGGAGGGAGGGAATCTCAAGCAGACTCCCCACCAAGTGTGGAGCCTGATGCAGGGCTCAATCCCACAACCTGGAGATCACGACCTGAGCTCAAACCAAGAGTTGGACACTTAACTGACTGAGCCACCCAGGCGCCCCAGATTATTTGTCTTTCTACTTGGTGAGTTGTAATGGTATTTTATGTACTCTGAATACTAGACCCTTACCAGATATAGTTTGCAAACACCTTTCCTCCTTCTGTGGGTTAACTTTTCACTTTCTCAATAGTGTTTTTTGAAGCATAAAAGTTCAAAAACTGTTTTATTGTGGAAGTTTTAAATTTTGACGATGTCCAATTTATCTATTTTTTTCTTTGGTTGCTTGTGCTTTTGGTGTCATATGTAAGAAACCACTGCTTATTCCAAAGTTACAAAGATTTTGATTTGTTTTCTTCTAATAGTTTTATAAATTTTAGCTCTTGGGTTTAGCTCTTTGATTCATTTTTGAGCTACTTTTCATATACATGTGAGGTAGGGACTGACGATTACTTTTTGTAATGTAACTCGAATAGTATTAGAAGTGTGTAATAAAAGCTCATGATTTAAAGGGTATTTTACAAAGCATAAAATGAGGCTTAGCTAAGGAACTTACCTGTCCACTTCTTATGATAGAAGGAGGAATTGAGAAGAAGTACCCAGCTCTTACTCCTTCCATCGCTACAGATGGCCGGCCATCAAATGCATGCAGGAGCACTTTGTCAGCACCTGTTAAAGATTAAAGATAATTTAGAGTTTCCTTTCATTTCCTTAACAAGAAGTTTTCCCACTAATCAAAGTGGGCAACATAGATTATAAATTTTAAGTAAACTTTGGTCACTATAATATAAAGATGAGGTTCTATGACTTTTTTTTTTTCTTAAGTTTTATTTATTTAAGTAATCTCTACACCCCATATGGAGCTTGAACTCAAAACCTGAGATCAAGAATTGCATGCTCTTCCAACCAGGTGCCCCTATATGATTTCTAAAGGGTAAATGTACAGTGTTCAAACAGTAAAATAAAAAATAGAGAACATTCTTAATCTTCAGAATAAAATCGAAATACAATTTTTTAAGGGCCCCTGGGTGGCTCAGTCAGTTAAGCATCCAGCTCTTGATTTCAGCTCAGGTCTTGATCTCAGGGTCGTGAGTTCAAGCCCCACGTTGGGCTCCACACGGGGCGTGGAGCCTACATTAGAAAAAATATAAATTTTTAAATAAATATTTAAACTTCTTATACCATCAAACTTTTTCTAGAAGTTTGTAAACTGTCAAATTATTATTCCTACTAGATTTTTAAGCAGTGAAATTATCCTTAACAAGAATGCTAGTGAAAGAAGAAACAGGGAGCTCAATGACTCAGAGACTCAATAGTTAGGACTGGCTTCACCAAATCACCTCCAGTTCTTAAAGGATGGCTGCTCAGCCTGCATAAAAATCATGCTCAGTATGAGTAATTCCAGTGATTCTCATCACTGAGAAATATAATGCTTTCTAGTTGCAGGCAATTACATTTACTTTACTATTTGATACTGTTTTTTTCAAACAGTAGACATGATCATTAGTGGGTTACAATCATAAATGAATTATGGAATCAATTTAGTGGGTCTCGACTGACCAGCATATGCTTATATGTATATGTGTGACTGCATATATGTATATGTACATATTTATATATGCCTATCTGCACATACATATAGATGTACTGCTCCTTAAACTTTGGCCAGTTTTCTGTATATGTATATACTGAGTCTCAAAATAAAGTCTAAGTACCAAAAAAAGTACTCAAGTGTATTTCTTACTGTGGATGGTACTTTAAAAAGTCTGAAAAGTAATGCTATAAGATATATTTTTACTTTAGGAGCAACAGGTGAAGATAACAGTGCATTTCAGGTATGATGGCCACGACCTGTATAATACCATTTTCTGAGGCAGCAGCCAGAAAACATGCAAGACAGTAACCCATCTTTGCTTTGTTTTTTCCTCTCTCATTAATCAGCTACTTAAGCTGATTAAAAAATTAGAGCTGATAATTTTTAAACTAAGGAATATAAATTACTTGATCCAATTTTTCATTTGCTCTATGCTGGCCTTCTAAATGTCATAATCACTCTTGAAAGTAGGCTGACTTGCAAAATCACCTTAGTTCATTTCCACCTCCACTCTTGCCCCACTCCCTTCCCTTTAAGAAATCAAATTAAAACACAGCTTATTCTACGTGCATGTGGACTGGAACTGTCAAACGTAAATATTAGGCACACTTCTCTCAGGAACCTAAATACCTTGCTCATTCAAGAGGCTGATGGTGGGTCTTCCAGCAGAGCGTGAGTGAACATTTCTGTTTAACAACAAAAAATTCCTTTTAGGTACTTAATCTGAAAGTATTATTTTTGTTCTATTAAAGTAATTCAGAGAAAAAGAAATACAGAGCTCCATCTCAGGAGAATCATTATTTAATTTTCTCTATAGCTATTAATATAGAAAGATGATTAATTAACCTACAAAGGCAAATTTAATCTTTTGGCTAACTGGACCTGTCGGATTAGGACTTGTCGTTGCTCTTCTTTCTGCTCATCAGTGCCAGCAAATCTGGGGGAGAAATCTAGTCCCACCTGTAACAGAAAGATAAAACAGATTTACATGTTTGTGGTTTAATGAATTCAAAAGACATATTGTGGAGCAGTGCTGTCCAAGAGAAATATGATGGGAGCCATACATGCAAGCCACATATATAACTTTACATTTTCTAGTAGCCACATTAAAAACACTAACAAGAGGGGTGCCTGGGTGGCTCAGTTGTTAAGCATCTGCCTTCCACTTGGGTCATGATCCCAGGGAGGCCTGCTTCTCCCTCCCCCACTCCCCTTGCTTGTGTTCCCTCTCTCGCTGTGTCTCTCTCTGTCAAATAAATAAATAAAATCTTTAAAAAAAAAAACCAAAACACTAACAAGAATCAGGTGAAATTAATTTTAATGATACACTTTATTTAATCTGTATGTCCAAAACATCATTATTATTATATAGTAATATTATTATTTCAATACAAAATCAATATAAAAAATCATTGCATTATTTTACATTCTTTTTTTGGGTACTAAGACTTTGAAATCCTGTGTGTTTTATATTTATAGCATATCTCAATTTGGACCAATCACATTTCAAGTGCTATATGTGGTTACTACATTGGACAGTGAAGATTATAAATGACTGTTTCCCTTGATACTCTTTTGGCATACATTGCTAAAGTCTATATTCTAATTTAAGTGTTACTCTTATCTTTTATCTTTGATTAGAAGTGGAGTTTATTACCAAGTGATAAAAATGCTTCACAACTGTAAATTATTTAATAAAAAATGTTCTTTAATTACAAACTCTAGCCTATTTTTAAAATTTTTTAAAAAAATATTTTATTTATTTATTAAGTAAGTTCTACGTCCAATGTGGGGCTGGAACTTAGGACCCTGAGATCAAGAGTCACATACTCCACCAACTGAGGCAGCCAGGCACCCCAACAAACTCTAGTCTATTTAAAGTATGTTTGTATATACTGCGTTAACTAACTATAGAGATGACGACCCTATTTAAGAAAAGGGAAAAAAAAGAACAAAGTACACAGAAATGCTAATAAAGTAGTTTTCTTTCATTAACATAAATCTATAGTGGGGCTTTCTACTGTCTTACCTCAGGCTCTTTTGCTTATTGAGGAAGTAGTGACAAATTATTATCCAGCTAAATGAAGTGAATATAATTATCTAAGTCAGTTATAATCACCAATAGTGAACTAAAGATTATATTCATATATCATATGAAAAGTCTGGATTAGCAGTCATTTGATCAGCTATTTGGTGTTACCTCTCCAATTGCCAACAACTGATCTTTATAATTCTCCATAATGGGCAAAGCTACATCCAAATCCTAGGAGAAAAAAAAGTAAATTTGTTTAAATAGAAGTGTAAGGGAACTGATACTTTAGAAAACACCTTTTATATACCAGGCACTATATTATACTGGGTCCTTTACATACATTCCATACCTTTAACCAGTTGAAGAAGTAGTGACAGTCATCCTTCTAAATTTTTTTATTTATTGTTTTTATTTTTTTTTAAAGACTTTATTTATTCTTCAACAGAGAGAGAGACAGCGAGAGAGGGAACACAAGCAGGGGGAGTGGGAGAGGGAGAAGCAGGCTTCCCGCTGAGCAGGAAGCCGGATGTGGGACTCGATCCCAGGACCCTGGGATCATGACCTGAGCCGAAGGCAGACGCTTAACGACTGAGCCACCCAGGCGCCCAACAGTCATCCTTCTATAATGGTGAGTACTACTATTTGGAAATTTGAGTAGAAACATCCCACACCCAGTCAGGTTACAAGAACATGACTTTCAATGAAAAGTCTCACTTAAACACTTCCTAATATTTAGGTGGAATTTCCTGACATTTAGGACTGATTTGGATTTCCTCCTGGAATAGGTGACCAAGAGCCATCTTTGGCAGTCACCTTTGTAACTGAGTTTTTGGGGAGTGCTGTGCTCTGTCCTCCTCTTAGGATGTTAATGGTTTTTGAGTTTTTTAATAGCAACAATCCCATACATCCTCTGCACTGTTTTCACTGATTTCTTTTGTCTTTATAATCCTGCTTAGCCTATTTTTGTCCTAAAGGTTCAACAGCATAAACACTAATTATCACACATATGCTTGTTTGTCAATTATTGAAGTAACTAAGTACTGTTAGTTTCCATGGTATTACTATTTCCATTTAAAGAGAATTTACTCTGTGAGGGTTCCCTTGTAAGACAAGGGAAAGACAAATATATGGAAAATTTGCTCCTAGATATCTTTTAAACTACTTTCAGGATTTTAGTCTCAGGATATGTAAATTGCAAAGAACTTCTACTGAGGATAATTAGAACAAAGGAGAATTAAGAAAAGAGAGGTGGAACAGATGGTAGAGGAGCAGGAGGAGATTTTACAATTATGCCTCTGGAGACAGATAACATGAGGGACAGAGTAGATCATGGCCTCAGAAATATATTCTAGTAGACTGGATAAAGAGGAATTAACAGTGTCGTGAGGAGCTAAGAGTATAAAACCCTACAGATCAGAGACGGTGTCTGACAATAGTTGAGGAGGTTAAACATCGTCAGCCAAAGCTTTTTCCATATCAAACATCCAAACTGCTCTGTCTCTGAAGTTCAGAGGGGCTGGAGAAGGTAGAGATTACCCAGGAAATGGTTGACACTTGGAAAGTCTTACAAAGGAAGTGTACATTTGGATGAAGACCAGATAGAGGGAAAAATGAGCTTCTTGGAATATCTATTATCCATGAAAAAAGCAAAACAAATTTACAATGAGACTGTTTCAACTTCTCATGAAATAATCTGGAAGTTTCTGGCAAGTCAAGCATAGTAAGTAGAAATTAATATAATTCATATTACTAATTTTATATGTGTGTATTCGTGTGTGTGGTCCCTATCGTTTTATTTCAATAGATGTAAACATTTTTTTTT